CAAGTAGAAGCGAGGCAGCGGCCGTATTTTGTCGTTAATCTTGTTATCGACAGTTTGTTTTGATGCTTTGGGGGTAGCTTGCTGCAATGCTGGTTATTTGCTACAATGTCAACGGCGGCGGCGTGGTCGTCGTACGAGGTTGCCGCGCAGTTGGCAAAGTGCGTCGTAGTGCGCGTTCTGGGCGCCCCTTGAGATTACAGCAGATACCACTGTTGGAGTATTGCTAGAAAGGATAGCCGCAAAACGCTTTTATGGCGTACACGGACAATTCAGGGACAGCTTGCAGAAGATAGCGCTATCAACCACCAAAAATGAGTAAAGTGCAACAAAGAAGCTGTTTCCAAACAGTGTACGCTTATGTCAATAACGAAAATCTAGGCAACCTAACTTTTTTTTCTTGCATTATCACATTTATTGCTAATCCTGAAAAAGCTTTCTTAAACTTTGCCTCGCATAGTAAATGTGCCCCCAACTTTGCTTAGATTTTTCAAGAAAAAAAGTGTGTTCATTATGTCAGTAACTACGGTATCTGGCGCATGGCAGCGGGTGAAAGGGGGGGAGGCAGTGAGCTCAAGGGAGTCGGCATAATAATAAATAACGGAAGAGATCTAACAAGCAAGAAGGCATCAGGTGTCAGTTAGCGAGACTGCAGCGGACGAATGTAGGAGGTGCGTTTATTATGCGGGGAAAAGAAAAATCCAAATTTTTACAACTGATGTTGGTGGTGTGTTTATTACGCAAGTGCATTCATGGCGCGAGTAAATATGCTATACTGAATTTCACAATCTGTTGACAGTGAAGTCGATGGTATAACTCTCGTCCAATCAGGGCTTTAGGGGCACAGCAGATAGTCCCTGGTTTTAGCAGTCCAGTTCCATCTTGCAAGCTATCCCCTCGAAAATTGAAGATATTGCTGCATCAAGTGCGACTGACCCAAATCGTCCGTTGACGCTCCCTACTAATAAGAACTTGGCCGAAGTGCATGTGGACGGTCTTTCTTTGACGACTTTAGTTGACACTGGAGCTCGGGTGTCTATAATGAGAGCTCGTCTCTGTCGCCGCCTCAAAAAAGTACTCACGCCTGCTGCAACACAAGCCGTCTGTGTCGTCGATGATGGAACTGTGGCCGTCATTGGAATGTGTACCGTTTGTATTAGCCTTGCCAGCTGCCACGTTCCTGTTTTATTTACCATGCTTGACAATTGCCCTCATGACTTCATCTTCGGGATGGACTTCCTATCGACGCATTCTGCCCTGATCGACTGTTCCGCGGGCACTCTTTGTTGAGAACTTCTTCTTCCAGATTCTCACCCCGAGCTGCCGAAAAGCCTCTGTACCACAGACTTCAGTCGGATACCGCTAAAAGCCCTCAAATTCATTGAATTGGCAACAAGTTCACTCGTGCTTGACGGTGATTATGTTGTCACGCCTATTCCTGATGTTCTCCTGGCGTGCGACATCACTGTACCAAACTCCGTCGTAACCATGGCCTCTAACCGAGCACGTCTGCCCATTATCAATTTCGGGTTCACGCACCAAGTACTACCACACAGAATTTCAGTCGCCATGCTGCGACCCTTAACAGACGCCCACGTCACCGCTCCGATCTTCCATGTCGCCCGCAGAATGCCACACCCCTCGATGCGGCCTTGCGCCCCATGATCGACCCTAAACTCATACCTGAGCAGTCCGACGCCCTTTTCAGCCTTTTAGCTTTCTACCGCGACATATTTGACACCGACAGCAGTCCACTCAGTCAGGCTTCCCGCGTGAAGCACCGCATTAATACAGCTGATTCTTCTCCCATTCACCGCCGACCATACCGGGTGTCTGCCACAGAGTGTAACGTAATTCAAGAAGTCAACAAGATGCTAGCCAAAGGAATTATTGAACCCTCCTCGAGCCCTTGGGCATCTCCTGTTGTGCTTGTTAAACAAAAAGATTATACGTGGTGCTTCTGCGTCGATTACTGCCATCTTAATCGAATCACGAAAAAGGACGTTTATCCTTTGCCCCGAATTGATGACGCCCTCGATTGTCTTCATGGCGCGCGATACTTTTCTTCAATTGACCTACGTTCTGGTTATTGGTAGATTGCGGTGGACGAAAAAGACCAAGAAAAGACTGCATTTGTAACTATAGACGGCCTACACCAATTCAAGGTGATGCCGTTTGGGCTATGCAACACCCCAGCCACATTTGAGCGTATGATGGACTCGTTATTACAAGGGTTCAAGTGGTCAACATGCCTGTGCTACCCGGATTATGTCCTTGTGTATTCGCCTACATTTGAGACACACCTCCAGCGTTTGTCAGCGGTTCTCGACATCTTCCGCACTGCTGGCCTTCAACTAAACTCGTCGAAATGTCACTTCGGTTGCCAGCAGCTAATGGTGTGGGCCACCTTGTCGACGCATCAGGTGTGCAGCCTGACCCGGAGAAAATTCATGCCGTCATAACCTTTCCTGTATACCCCAGTCTGTCAGGGACGTCCGGAGCTTTGTGGGATTTTGTTCCTATTTTAGAAGGTTCCTATTTTAGAAGTTCCGCCTATATTTATATGGCACGAATTTATCTGTAACGACGGACCACCATGCGCTATGTTGGCTTTCGTCACTGAAGGATCCTACTGGCCGGCTCCGGCGCTGGGCTCTGCGACTGCAAGAGTATACCTACATGGGGATGTACAAGTCCGGAAGCCTACATCAGGACGCAGAGTGCCTGTCCCGCTAGCCGGTTGCTGAGCCGAGCACTATGCCTGACATCCATTGGTGATGAGCAGTGCCATGATGCGTCCTTGCGTGCTATCATTGAGCGCCTCGAAACACCATCTTTTAATCAGTCCCATCGCCCATTCATGCTTCTTGATGGTGTATTATACCGCCAAAGTTTTGAGCTGGATGGGTCGACCCTGCTGCTTGTCATTCCGAAACGCCTTCGCTCGGTCTTCCGTAACAATATCATTAGGCTTGATTTTTTTCAAAACGTGTTGAGTGTGTTAATGAATAGAGAAATTAAAGCAGAAAGCTTGCATGCATGCATTTCTGCGGAGGCTTGTGGCAAAGTGGTGATGCCCCGCCTTTCGGAGACACGGCGTCACCCAAGTTGGTTGTGTCAGTGCAAGATGTGTGACCAATGAGCCATCCTTCGTTTTCCCAAGCAGAAGACTGACCCAGGTGCAAACTCTGTATCGGTGGAGGGCGCCGACAGTCAAAGGACCGAATAGGCTTTCTTGTGAAAAAGGCCGTGATCAAATGAAAAAGCTGGGTGATTTTGACCTAGCACTTTTGAATGGCTTTTCTGAGAAAGGCAATATTTCTACTATCACCAAAGTGATGCATAAGACGAGACGCTACCGACCATGTCTACATCCATGGTGCAGAGGATGCTGAAAACACTTGCCTTCAAGCACAAGAAACGCTCTCAAAGCTCTCTTCTCATAGAAGTGGCACACATTGTCCAGAGTCGCCATATAGTGGAGCTGCAACGGTAGGGTAGGCCAATATTTCTCACCAACAAAACGTGGGTCGATGCCGGCCATACACATAGTCCGGTGTGAACTAGTGGCACTGTCCAGTCTACGCATTGCAGTGGCACTTGTGAAGTGTGGACTACTGCTTTGCTGAGGTTTCCGGTCACCTCGCTGTGCGCCTACCTCACAAACACTGCCAGTTGAACCCCTTGGAGCTTGTTTGGGGCAACGTGAAGGGCTTCATAGCAGCGGGAAACAAGATGTTGATACTCTGACATGGCAAGCAATCAAGCAACTGACAGCTGAGAAGTGGAAATAAAGCTTCAAATTGTTTGATGCAATCATTTGTTTCTTAACTGATTCAGTGACTGAAGTAAATTTTTGTATACACGTTGCATAAATAATTAAAGTGAGCTCAAACGTGCCAAGAACTTATGGGAACCAGTGGGGATAACAATAAATAGAAAAGGATGGTCCACTTGCATTGAAATGCTTATCAGTTAGGGAGGTCGACGGGGATGTCACAAGCAAAATAGTACTTGCGAGTATTTCTGGACTCAGACACAACTGAGTTTCCATGCTTTGTGACTTCGTGCAAAGGTGGAAAGTACGGATTCTTTGCCACATGCATCTGTGATGTAAGCGTTTCGCCCGACCGCAAACACAACGTATCACTTCACAGAAGCATCACAACTACGTTCGTGCTGTGGAAGGGCAGGACAACATCGGGAGTTTTTTTTTAACAGGGTCTACGAAGACGATGCAATCTGTCAGAATGCCTGTTCATGGGATTTTTTGTGGAACAGAACTTGCTGCTAAGCGTAAGTGATTACGCTGGACTGTTCTTTCGAAAAATGTTTCCTGAAGTGCGATGGTGCGAAGCAGTACATGTGCAAACTTAAGAGAGCAACTGCCATTGTCAGAGAAATGGTTGTAGATGCTGAGAAAACAATGCATGGAGGATCTGAAATGCTGTGCTTTCGTAGTTGGAGTGTACGGAAGCAACAACGGCATGTCCCAAATGTCTCAGCTTCAGTAATTCCTGATATGAAAAACCTTGCTGTGTCTCCCGTATATTCAGGCTGCTAGGTTGTCAGGTGTAAGCTACTTCATAGCGCAGTCCCTCTACTCCAAAGTGTGCAGTTTTGCTACAAAGCTGCTCCAATTGTTTAATTTTTTTGCTTCCAGACCTACTCCAAAGCCGCTTCCATCCTTGTGTCATCACCCTGAGAATGTCTCAAGTGCCATAGCTCTTTTGAGTATATAGATGCAGTGGGAGTAATAATGAATAAATGAGAGGCACAGATGAATAATTGGTGCAAGGCACTCGTAGCCATGATCATTAGGAACAACTGATGCTGATGTAGTTCTACTGGTAGAGCATTGGGCATATAATTAGGTTCAGTTTCCAAGTTTGTTGCAATTTGTCCCAAGTTACAAGTTTGTTCCAAGTTTGTGAGGGCCACAGAAGCCACGACTGCCGTCTTGCGCAATGTGAAGTTACCACTCACAATGTCTGTTGTGACAGGTGATCAAGCGGGAGAGCCAGAATGTGGTGTTTACCATTCCCATCTCGGAGCCACTGCCACCACAGTATTTGGTACGTGTGGACTCGGACTACTGGCTTGGCTCCAGCCAGACCATCCCCCTCACTTTCCAGCACCTCATTCTGCCTGAACGCCACCCACCTCACACGGGTACGTACTTTCCATTATGGACTGTAGAGAGTCGTTTGTATTGTATGTGAATGGTGGCCCTCATCACGAAAGTTGTGCAAACAATTTCTAGGCTTGTTTCGATGAGTTTCTTTTCCTTTAATTTAGAATCTATTAATTTACAAAGCTTTGCTAAAATAAAATTTGGCATGGAGTGAATGAGGCTTTCCAAGAAGGCGATAAGAAGATGCGTTTCGTCGTCATTCTCTGTGTACCTATAGTGTTTCATTCTTTGAAAGGTGGGGCTTCAAGGTATTATGGTGGTGTTTTTTTGGCTCCTTGGCAGTTTTCTCGTACTTGGGCTCGAGTGTCATCTGCTAAGACCACTGAATGTGAAAAAAAAAAAACCCAATGCGGCTCATATATCTGGTGCTGTGATTTTGCTTAAATGCAGCAAAATTTACATTGGCCAAACTGGTTGGTGTATTAACGACTGCTTAGCAGAGCATGCCTCATCTATCAGAAAGGGCTCTTATTTTACTGCAAGGAATGTACCTGTAAACCATTGCTGGGCAACGTATGCATTTTTCGGAAAAGTGAAGACAAAATTAACATTCACTTTTTTCATCATGCAGAGCTGCTTGATCTGCAGCCACTGCCTGTGTCAGCCCTGTGCAACACCACCTACGAGCTGCTGTTTCGCTTCAGCCACCTGAACCCGATCCAGACTCAGATATTCCACACGCTCTACCACACGGACCACAATGTGCTCCTGGGGGCTCCCACTGGTTCGGGAAAGACCATTGCTGCCGAGATCGCCATGTTCCGCTCCTTCAACATTTATCCAGGATCAAAGGTTTGGCCTCTCTTTTTCTATGTTCCAAAGCACATGAGTTGGGATCCATTGGGATCCAGAGCTTGCATTTGTTTATTTATTTATTGTGGTGAAGACCACAAAAAAAGAGACAGCTAAGCAAGCCGCAGCATTGGTGATATCCATGCAACTGGAGCTTGCTGCGTGCCTGGACTGGCTGCATCGTGCATGCAGTTTTATGACACCAGTCTTCAACATTCCTTGACGTTTACGCATCAATAAATGATGTAACATTTTTAATTTGTTTCTATTTCTTCATGGGGCCATTATGGAAAGGAACAGGCATAATTTGTCACAATCAACAATCGACTGACACATTCCCAACCCACTCATTTATTGCACATGCCACATGTCCCCTTCTCTACATCACGGATTACTCCATACTGCTTGTCCTTCTCCCAGCAACTACACACAGCCACCTAGACCAGCACTCTCCCCCTTCTCAGAGACGGACATAATGTCACGGGCTAAGTAGATGCCTGAGGATGACGACGACGAAGTGCTGAACGTGACCGTGCTCGAACTGCAGCAGCGTTGTACGCATTAGCTCGCCAGTATATTCGCCAGTACGCATTTGCTCGCCAGTGTATACTTTATTTCCCGTAACATCATTGGTGGAAGGTGCGGGGTACCACTCGCTATACAGCCCAACGAGCTGGATCTTCGCAGCGGACGGCGCATTGCAGCTACCACGATGACTGACCAGGCTACTCAATGTCAACAAGATCCGTCAGCCCCGCAGCCAATCGTTGTGGTACAACCTCGTGACCCAGGCCCATTCAACGGCACAAGTGGCATAGACGTCGATGACTGGCTGGTTCTATATGAGCGCGTCAGCAGCAGCAACCATTGGGATCCGACGCTTACGTTGGCGAACATCATCTTCTACTTGCATGGCACGGCAAAACTCTGGTACGAGACACATGAAGAAGAGTTGACTAGCTGGAACGTCTGTTAGCAGAAATTGCGCTATCTATTTGGGAAACCCATCGGACGTCAAGTGGCCGCAAAGAAAGAGCTTGCGACTCGTGTTCAGACATCCACAGAGCCGTACATCGCGTACATCCAGGACGTGTTGGCTTTCTGCCGCAAGGTCGACAAGGACATGCTCGACGAGGACAAAGTCTGACACATACTGAAAGGAATTGCCGATGATGCCTTCAATTTTCTCCTGTGCAAGGACTGCTCGACAGTGGAGTCGGTCATCAAAGCATGTCGTCGCTTCGAACAGAAAAAAAGTAGGCGCATAGTTCACCGATTTGACCGCCTTCCCAACACGGCGGCTACGTCCTCTTGGGAAGATTTGCCCACACTACATCAACCACCAGCGCCAGAAAACGTCACCAGAATAGTCCGTCGGGTACTCGAGGCTATGGCTCCCGCTATGTTTAGCGTCAGCGCGCCAGGACACAACCTCGATGCTGTTTCAATGATACAGACCGTGGTCCGCCAAGAGATCGCGAATATGGGCATTTCGCCACCTCATCAAAATGTCCCTGCTACTTCCAGCTCGGCTCCAGTCGTTGCGGCTACCACTCCGAACCGCACGTTCACGCCACGACGAAACCCAGCTGAATGGTGCACTCATGATGATCGGCCCATACGTTTCACGTGCCATCGGATAGGACACATCGCTCACCATTGCCGCAGCCGTTGGACCTCATCACCTCGACCGAGCTTCTATGATTGGCGGCCTTGCTCTGAACGTGCACCTTATGCCCCATCCTACCGTGCTGAGACAGGTGCAGAGCATAATCCAGAACGTTGGACCAGCCGCTGGCCATTGCCCGTGCGTCGTCAGTCCCGCTCGCCCCAACCCCGTCGTTCTCGGTCTCCCTAAGACCGTCGCTCGGAAAACTAGCCGGTGCAGCCCCCGGAGGTGACGCTGCATACACGACTCGGACTGCAAATCCTCTGATTACTCCCGACCAGCGGTGCAACCTTCTTACAATTTTGGTTGATGGTTTACCTGTAACTGCTCTTATTGATACCGGTGCACAAATATCTGTGATGAGCTCAGACCTCCGCCGCCGCCTCCAAAAAGTTCTAACGCCTGCGATTGCACCTACCGTTCGTACAGCGGATGGGAGTACTCCTGCTGTGCTTGGAATGTGCACTGCGCGATTAACGATTTCTGAGCATCAAACTTCAGTTCTGTTCACTGTACTGGAAAATTGCCCTCATGACCTCATCCTTGGACTCGACTTTCTGACTTCACACGCTGCGCTCATTGACTGTTCCAAAGGTCTTCTTCGGCTCGAACTACCATCCTTCTCAGAGATCGTCTCTACCAGCCCACCTCGTTTACGCTCTGTCGATTTCCTCAGACTTCCGCCGCAAGCCACAGTCCAAGTCCAACTCTCGCCATATCCTCCAGTACCCAATGGTGATCATGTTGCTGCCCCAATTTCTGACGTGGCCATGACACGCAATGTTGCACTCCCCAACACGGTGGTTACCGTTAAGGACAACCGAACTTCATTTCCCGTCCTCAATTTCGGCTTCTCAGCGCAAGTTATTCCTCGCGGCATGTCACTTGCGCATCTGACACCACTGGTCGACCACACAGTTTCCGCCCTAACCACCGATTCGCCACCCGATTTTTCATCAACGTCGCTCTCGTCACGTTTCTGTTCCGACCTTTTCAAGCCAATGCTATCTGACAAGCTCACCTCTGAACAAGTCTCTGCTTTCTGCCGTGTGCTTGCTTATTATCAGGACATCTTTGACTTCGGCGACTGTAATTTGGGCCAGACATTTGTGGTAACCCATCGCATCGACACCAGTGACGCTCGACCCATTCGCCGACGACCCTACCGTGTGTCAGCCCCGGAGCGTGCTATTGTACAACGAGAAGTCGATAAAATGCTTGATAAGGGCATAATCGAACCCTCATCTAGTCCACGGTCCTCACCCGTTGTACTTGTTAAAAAGAAGGACAATAGCTGGAGATTCTGTGTTGATTACTGCCATCTCAACCATATTACCAAGAAAGATGTCTATCCCCTACCGCGCATAGATGATGCACTCGATTGCTTGCATGGTGCCAAATATTTCTCTTCAATGGACCTTTGCTCAGGCTACTGGCAGACCGCTGTGGACGACAAAGACAGAGAGAAGACGGCCTTTTGGATTATGCAATGCCCCCGCGACATTTGAGCGCATGATGGACTCTCTCCTTCGAGGCATGAAGTGGACCATCTGCCTCTGCTATCTTGACGACGTTATTGTTTTTTCGACTACTTTTTACGACCATTTTACCCATCTGTCCACAGTGCTTGATGTGTTTCGACGTGCCAACTTGCAACTTAACTCGTCCAAATGCCGCTTTGGGCAACGCCAAATCTGCGTACTCGGCCATCTTGTTAACGCTGTGGGCGTTCAACCAGACCCTGCGAAAGTCCGAGCAGTTCGCGACTTCCCCACACCCCGCTCAGCCAAGGACGTCCGAAGTTTTCTGGGACTGTGCTCTTATTTCCGTCGTTTTGTCGAGAAGTTTGCTGAAGTAGCCCGTCCTCTAACCTGCCTCCTCAAAACGGATGTCGCATTCACCTGGGGCCAACAGCAAGCAAACGCCTTCTCGTCGCTCGTTGACATTCTCACCAATCCACCAGTTCTAGCACACATCGACCCATCTGCTGCCACAGAGCATCGTACTGACGGCAGTGGCCACGGCATAGGCGCAGTGCTGGCGCAGCGGCAACAAGGCATGCACCGCGTCGTCGCGTATGCAAGCCGACCAGTGTCGCGCTCGGAACAAAATTATTCCATCACAGAACGCGAGTGCTTACCTCTCGTCTGGGCCATTGCGAAATTCCGACCGTACCTGTATGGCCGACCATTCTCAGTTATTACGGACCACCATGCGCTTTGCTGGCTCTCCTCACTCAAGGACCCTACGGGACGCCTTGGTCGCTGGGCGCTGCGCTTACAAGAGTACACTTTTTCCGTATCCTATAAATCCGGACAACTTCACAAGGATGCCGACTGCTTGTCCCATTACCCAGTCGATCCCCCTGACACGAGGCAAGATGAACAAGAGGCCCTCGTTCTTTCAATTACCGACTTCACCAACATAGCTGCTGAACAACGCCGCGACCCCTCTTTGCGTGCTATTATCAATGGTCTGCACTCTCCCCACCCTGACCACTCCTTACAACTGTTCGTTCTTCACAACGACATCTTGCACCGCTACAACACCCGCCCTGATGGTGCTGAGCTTTTACTCGTTGTTCCTGTGCATCTTCGCTCAGACCTTTTGGCCCAGCTGCATGATGCCCCCTCCGCTGGACACCTAGGGGTGTCACGCACGTATGAGCGCATTCGCCGCCGATTCTTTTGGCCTGGCCTCTACCGTTCTGTGCGACAATATGTTGCGGCATGCGACCTCTGCCAGCGCCGCAAGACACCTGCTCTGAGACCTGCTGCTACCCTCCAGCCCATCGAAGTACCAGATGAGCCATTTTTCCGAGTCGGCCTCGATCTTCTAGGACCTTTTCCCGTGTCGGCCACCGGTAATAAGTGGATTGCTATTGCTACCGACTACGCAACGCAGTATGCCGTTACACGCGGCCTCTCCACCAGCTGCGCTACTGATGTAGCCGATTTCCTTCTTCATGACATCATTCTGCGTCATGGTGCTCCTCGTCAGTTGATCACCGACCGCGGCAGCTGTTTTCTATCTAAAGTAGTCGACGAGCTTCTGCTATTCTGCTCTACCCACCACAAGTTCACTACAGCGTACCATCCGCAAACCAACGACCTCACGGAACGCCTCAACCGTACCCTGACGAATATGTTAGCGATGTACGTCTCCAAAGATCACAAAGATTGGGACATCCACTTACCTTTCGTTACCTTCGCATACAACAGTTCACGTCATGATACAGCTGAATTTTCACCTTTTTACCTACTGTTTAGTTATGACCCGCCTTTGCCCATGGACACCATGCTCCAATCTGACGCCCCCTCATCGACTGCTT